GCTATGCAAGTGCATTTTTTCATCTGCATATCCTCAAAAGATGGGGAACATCTAGTATAAAACTTACAGCTATTTTCTAAAACTAAAGTTTGGGTACAAAAATGGCTTTTGTCTCAAACTTTGGTAGTTGCCAACAATGTAATTTACTTAAGGTCTGACAAAGATGAGAGTTGAATTAATTGAAATTGTGAATCTTCCTGATACCTTCTCCATTGCTATTCACCTTTGCTGCAAAGTTCTGATGCCCCCAGGGGAAAGTCATGATCCAGTGAACCTTAGACAGGAGAGACAGTCCTGAATGCACATAGGACTCTCTTCTCAGAACATTTTAGGAACTGAAAATATATATAATATATATATTATATATATAAGGTGTGGAAAACACTTCTCTCTGACAGAATGAAAAAAAAAATTATGGTAAGAATGAGAAAGTTTAGACTTCTGTGAAACAGAAGAAAATAATGAGCCCAAAGGAAGTAAAAATATGCAGACTGGGGGGGGGAAGAAAATCCACAGCTTTTGATGTCCTTTCAGAACAAACGTTGTACAGTTATTCTGCAAGTCTTGCATGAAGAACTTGAATCTTGGCTGGTTGGTGAAATGGTAGATTTAGTTTTTACAAAAGTCAAGTGACATTCATACTATGCGCCTCAGGACTAATGACCATATAAGACCTCCTAATATATTAATTATTATAGAGCCTCAGTCTATGGAACTTTTTACACAGAGTTAATTATCTTGTTAATGAGTGGTCTAATGATAAACAGTGTATAAATCTGCTTATTGGGTGGATTTGAGGAGCTAGATATTCATTATATTGTTCAAATTAGAAGTGAATAACCTTTTTTTCCCACAGTTCTTATCCACACTGCTAACTTTAGTGATTGTTTTGCACTGTGAATGTGAATAATTTCAAGCTATTTTCTAAGTTATTTATTAGCTGTGGTTCTGTCCCATTTTATCTTAAAGTGTTGAAGAGTAGTGCTGTTCTTGTCTCTCGTTTCTGTACACAGAAAACATTTTTCTCTGTCTGAATTTTTGCCTCAGACATGAGGAGTCTTCACAGCTGTATGACCTCTTTTTATATTCATCACAGGAGAATGTTCAGACACTGGTGAAATAGCAGACTGACTGTAGAAATGCCTTCTTTTCAATAGCTATGGGCCTGCTGCTTTAATTAATCTTTTTAGTATACAAGAGCTGGTTTGTAAACACAGCTTGGTAGATTACAAAGCATAAAGCCTCAGTAATTAAAAGGTATAACAGCATCGAGTTCCTTGACAAATAAAAGATAAAACTAGCTTCATATTTGTAAACCAACTTTTGAACAAGGTGATGGAGGAGCAGGACCACGTGGCATGAATGCAGATGGATGATAATGTGCCTACAGTTTTTTGGATAAAGGTTATAATGGTTCTGACTGGGAGGAGAAAAAGGTGAGAGAGAGAATCCCACCAGGAATGGTGACCTGAGCTCTCAGAGAGAGGGATGTACTGCATAAAGGTCGGTCCCTGAAAACATCTTAATTTAGAATGGAGGGGATTGAAATGGTGGGGCTTGGATAATTGCATGTCATGGTTCGATGCATCGTAGTGTAGTCCCAGACTGACGTTATAGGCACAGCAGAAACATGGTAAGCAGCTCAAATCCAAGGATAGTACAAGGTAATGCCACTATCAATAAACCATTTGAGGAAAAATATAGTTTATTTAAATATCATTCTATAAACTGCCCCCCACTTAAAAAAAAAAAAAAATCAAGTAGATACTTCTTGCACAATACACTGGCCCACTGCCTAGACTACTAAAGCAGGAAGAAAGATGTCTTCATTTCTTACATCATTAGTTTTAGCAGTAAATCTGAAGGAAGTTTTTTAATTAGAAGTAATACATTTTAAACAGATATTTAGAAAACATAGAAGTCTTTTATTATGCACGTGCAGGAAGTTGCCTTTTTTTGTCCACAACGATAAGTCATGCCACTTGTACTGAAGCAGCATGGTGACAGCCAAGGGCTCTACAGTATTTTTTTCCATGCAAATTTTATTGCATGGAAACATAACATTTCGTAAGCAAAAAATAATGGGCCTCTTTGCAAGGAATAGACATAGTGAAAAGTGGTATTCTCTGAAGGAATATTGTGTATGTGTGTCTCTATACACACCCATGTACAAGTACTATAGTTTTTAAGTAGTCTGTTTCTGTCTTGTAAGGTAAGCTGAGTACATTTTAGTTCATTGTGGATTTCTGAGTTTTGTGGGGAAACTCTTTTCAGGATGTCCTTTCCCATTAAAAATAGTTTATATATATCACTTCCTCCATGATCAATGGAAGTCTAACATGAATAAGTTCTTGACATTTGCATACTAAATTACATTATTAACATTGCTATTTTGAAAACAAACAAACAAAAAAACAAACCAACAACCCAACATAATTCTGCTTGACTCTTTAATCACTGGGTTTACCTTTTTTATCTTGTCTGCAAGAACTTAGGGACAGGAACTTGAAATTCTTTATTAGGCTACCTACTACCAAATTCATCTGAACTATATGCTCTGAAGAGGCTACAGCCAGGCAAAAAATAGTGTTGCCACTAAAGTATTTCAGATAAATATCAGACTTTCTCTTCTAGTACAAAATGTATTGTCACAAGTATTATTTTCTTTTCTCTCTTTTCTTATCTCACATCAGCCATCAGCTGTTTTCACTTAGCTCTTTACATAATTTCAAACAAATTATTATCTCCTCATCACCTAGTGTGAGCATGTTATATGGAATGAAGTCAGTCACCTACATGTTCAGTAAAAGGAAAATATGATAATCTGTTCATTAAATGAATTTCCATTCAGATCACCACATCTCTGACCAGAATTTAGCCTAATGTACTTGGTTGTCAAGGGCACTATTTGTTTCAGGAGAAGCTATTGTAACTGAAAAGCAGCACATCAAAAACCCTTTAGTTTTGGTGGGATTTTACCAGTTGTCAGCACTAATTTTTGGGTATTACAAGCCAGTTGAAATTACTGATGTAAGAAGTGATAATTTTATTGATGTGAAACTAATAGGATATTTTGAATTTAATACTAAGGTAGAGAATAACTTACTTAGTCTCTATTGTAGAAGAACATGCTAAAATTTAAAAAAAAAAAAAAAAAATTGTCAGAGTGGCAAGTGCCTATGAATTGTGGAAAGGGAATGTAAACAATTAATTACTACAAATTACTATCAGATTTCAGGATGAAGTTGAATGAATGGAGGAAATAACATCACTGCAAAGGCCTGAGGCAAACTTTCAAAATAGCCCCTTTCCTTTCTAGTGTCTTTGCCCAGGTATTTTTTGCAGTTTTTTTTTCCTCAGTTTGATAGTACTTATCCTAAATTTTGAAATGAAACAGCAATTTAAACACACTCATAGCCTGAACTGTTTGTTGGTATACCTTTGTCTACCCAGATCTGAAGGAATCAGGATCAAGTAAGTAACAGTTTGTGCAGGGTTTTAATATACACCCATCTTATCTGATCTTATTTAACTATCACCTTGCTTTGCCCTAGCACAAGAACACTACTTTACATGTGTTTCTTTTTCCACTTCAAACTATTCCTGTCTAATCTTACATTAGTGTTCTCCAAATTTTATTTTGTTGCTAATGCATAAATGTTGTCCTTCCACAGTGGTACTGATGGTTCTGCTGTGCACCTTTATTAACCTGACAACATTAGGTCACAGAAAAGCAGCGAGATCCCCACTGAACACAGCAGATGTGAATGCACTGTCTATCTTGTGTGCAGGTTCTGATTTGCAGGCACTCTGCAGAACTCGTTCACACTGTGGGACTTGAATTTTCACTGCCAAGAAACTTATTTTTTCCCAGTAACTCTCTCAAGGATCAAAGCTTCTTCTCAATATTACATTTTCCTTCCCCAAATATTGCCATATGTTGTTTAAACTACAGCACAAGATTATGGGTGTAGCAATTTTAATATATATTTTTTTCAAATTCTGTATATACTAAATCTTTCTTATTAACTCAAATCAAGTTTATTCAAAAGCATACACATAAACTGTACACAGAAGATGAAAACAAGTATTTGTGTATAAATTATCCATAACTAAAAAGGCTTAAATTATTTTCTAGCTCTTTTGGGACAAGAAGGAGTATTTTTATTTATTTGGTGATTCTCCTGGGTTGTCTTCAAATGTGATTTGCCAATCAGTATTTCTTCTTATGTGACATGTATTTCTCTTGAGTAGCACTTCTGTTGGCTAAGCAGTAGATTAATACCTGAACCCTTTCAATCCTATTTTTGAGCCGTATCTTACCTTTTCAGGAAGGAGGAATGAATAACTTGAAGTTCAAATGCATATTTATTTAACTTATTTCTAGGCAGAAGGATCAGCGTAGCAGTCCAGGTCATGTGGTGTGTTTGCAAGATCCAGTTATGATTGCCTGCCTTGGAATTCTCCCAGCCGAAGATAAACTTGACTCATGAATTTTAAGGGTATAAGCTAGGGTCTGCAGTCTGGCATCAGATGACCAAGGTACAGTCTTCAGTGTTTATCCCTAGCAGTTGCAGCTTTTTCTGTAGGCACGCAAAAAGACACTGCAGTAGAGTTCTTTCCCTGAATTCTTACTGTTCAAAAAACTAATAAGAAAACATGACAGAATATATTGCTGTGCAATGACTGGGATAGAATCTTCTGATCTACTCTTCAAAACTAGGTTCTAGAGCTACTGTTGGCAGGACAGATAAACTCTTTTTGCCTTAGTTTTCCTGTATAGAATAACAACGTGTACCTTTCTCACTGGGGAACTTTAATCAACAACTGTGCATTGCTACATAGAGCAGAGCAATCTGGCATGAGCAGTTTATTCAATGAATTTAGCCTGCTTGCAGATAATCCTTGAGCAGATGGTGTTATTATCAGCCACAGAGAAAAAGAGTTAAAATCACCCCAGCCTGAACATTTCTGCTCTGTTATATTTCACTTACAGAATCTTCAGGCCCAAGGAAGTATTTCTCAAAAATGAGGAACCTTACCTTTTCAGCTGTCTGAGGACCTTCAAAACACAGCACCCATGGGACTGCTGGAGTTCTTCCCGATCCCCGGGGAGACAGGTGGAGGAGGCTTCCATATGCAGTTCGACTGATAGAGGTCCACTGGGATCTGTCCACACTTCAGAAAAGATTTTATCTTAACCAGAAAACATTTTTTAAGTGCCTTGTCTCGGCTGAAGCCTTTGGTTAATGGACAGACTTTCTTTGACATCAGGAAACAAAACATCATTTTGAAGGATAACATAGAGTCAAGTCAGAATGAGTTTTAGTTCAAAATATTCAAGAATTCCATCTATCACTCAAGGTAACAATTACCACATAAATTCACTGCTTGCTATTCAAGAGAAAAACTGCTTGTTATCATTGAGTCTAACTTAGGTATTTCAAAGCAGTGTTCCTCACTGTTACTTTGCTTTATTTTTTAACTTTTATTCCCCTGGAGTTTAACTTAAGGTTTACATGAATTTTCAGAAAGGAATTTTATAAGCCATAATGTTACACTAGTCATTGCCTAGCAACAACCCCATCTAAACAATGAGCACAAAGCTATACCGTATAGCCTAGTTTATATTTATATATTTATTTAGATATTAACAAATGCAATTTTTAGCCTTGCAAGGAAACAGTCACCTGATGTTTGGTGTGATTACATGGGCTGTCAAAGACAACCTCTGTTCTGATACAGAAAATATACAACTTGATTGCTCAAAGCTGGATAACGTAAAGGATTTCACTGTAGGACCCTGCCTTTAGTTTATTAGGTCAGAAATTGGATTTCATTTCCTTGTCTCTATTACTTCTGTCTACAGCAAACCATCTAACCCTTGAAGTACCTAAATCCCACAAAAGTCGTAAGTATCGTAGTCTGATTGCGTGAGAGTTTTAATGTCCTTGGGAGAGACAGTCGGTATCTGCTTGTGCTTGAATGTGCAGAGGAGACAGAGATGATGATGATGCACTTAGTGCCATCTCCTATTTATGACAGTTTAGATGAATTAGATTGCTTGTACTTAAAAGTTATTTGTAGAATTCATAATGAACTGCTTGGAAATAAGCGCTTCTTGTAAGCTGAATCTAAAAGCACCTGAGAAACTTAGAAAAGATGCCTGTGTTAATACCTTAACCTGAAATTTTATCGTTTTTCTAATTTAATGACAATGGTGCCAAACATAATGGGCACAAAGTTGGAAGTTGGTTTAACAGGACACAATCAGAATTGATTTGTTCTTAAATGTAACTTGTGCAGTGTGCGGAGCTGGGGGCAATGGACACCGTGCTAGATGCTGAAGGTGAGCTGTCTGTGCCTATGCCTCCTGCATCTGTTCTGTGATCCATCTCATGACTTTTTCAGACACGTATAGATAGACCTTCAGAAAGCCATGGTACGTTGTGCAGATAAGTTGGGTACACTGGAAATTTATAGCATTTGTGAGGAATAGATTACTTGGAAGAAAAGTAACCCAAAGCTTAAATGCCTATAAAAATCATGTCAGTTCCTTTTTAGTAGGCTTGGTGTAACTGTAAGATACTGTATAACTGTACTGCTACTTTAAAACCCAAATGAAGTCTCAAGTCATTTCAGTTGTCAAATTCATTTTTTTCTTGTGTATTCTTGTTTATTTCTTTTTGCTGTGCACTCATCATATTCCAAACCTTGTCTTTCTTATTTGGATGTATTAAGAAGTGCTACCTATTTTGAACATTGTTTCTGTTATTCTTCTCCAACTTAGGCTGCTCCAATTCTAAGGTGGGCATATATGCCAATGCCCATTCTGATGTGTGAGTGGAATAGAAGTATGATCTGCCTCTTCTCTTATTATCATCTGTCATTGCGAGGAAATCCTCTGTGCTTCCTAATTCAAGTTAGCATGGGAATTCATCAGAAGGCCCTTAAAAGAGGGAGGAAAATCAAATGCCCTCTCAAAAGAATGTTATATTCTGCCTCCAACCAAAGTGGTGAGAGGTGCTTCCCTTAGCAGACATCTCTGCTGCAGAGGGATTGTGCCAGACTGTCTGTACTGAAGAAAATGTCTGCCTATGTTCTCCATTCCCTTCACATGAAAGCAAGCAAGCAATATGGGACAGTATCATCCTTTCACGTAACAAATAAAAGAAGGTGCACAGTCTGTACTCAAAAAGTGAAGACAAATCACGAAAGGCATAACATGTCTAAACAAGAAAAAGGACAGAGGTCAGGAAGACGCGTCCTGTATTTAACCGGTGCTTCGTGTTCCTTCCTCCCTAAGCAGAGTGGCTTTTAGAGACGCTATACTATCTGAACTCCTTCACTTCTTCCTTCCAACACCATATCAGTTTTGCTTGTAAAGCCCCACCACAAAATCACCCTTTTCAAGGTAATTTATTATTACTGTCTCCAATTCTTTCTGTAAATTAATAAATGAAAGCTTCCATAAAGAAACAAGCTGTACAGCCCTGCCAGCTCAGCGCTACTGAGATTACAGAGGAATAAATTGAAGAAAACAGAAAAAACACGAATAGTTTCAGACTCAAAGGCCTTAATTAACAATGTTTGAAAGGGGCATTAACTCCAATATTAAAAATAACCTACTTATATACAAATCTTTGGTGATTGCCATTAATCAGCAAAGAACGCATAAGCTTTCAGAAAGGCTTGCGTTATCTTAGAAGGTAGTAGCAGAATCGTGGGCAAGAAAATGAATATGTGAGAAGTACAGTCCATTCTCAAGATGCTGCAATAGCAGTCTCACACCATAGCACACACACACAAAAAAAATGAACACCATGTTAAAAAAGACTGAGAAGACTGCATATATTACTGTAAGTTACCATAAGAAAAAGTAAAACTTCAATATTTATTCTTTCATCTCACCATTCTTTAAAGCAATCTGCAAGACAATAGCAGAATTACAGACTGTCCCAAGTTGAAAGAGACTCGTAAGGCTCATCAAGGCCACCTCTGGGCTCCACACAGCATGACTGACAAAAAAAGAAAATAAAGAACAGAAATCAGAAAAATCGTGTCAGTATGAAAACTCATAAATTAAGTTGTAAGATAGCATTTGGAAATGAGAACTATTTCAATTACATCAACCACAGAACCAAGAAGGAGGAGAAAGAAGAATTTTGTACTTAAAAAGCACTAAGACAAGTAAAGCACCTTATCTTCTTTGTCATTTAGGATTTGAATCTCCTAAAATTTAATTTACATCCTGTCTGATTCATATTCTGGAATAGTTGTTAATCAAAGCTGTTCTGCTCTCTGTGAGAGCTGAGAATAGGGCCTGGGTGTCCCCAGTGGGTACTCATACTATAGATTCATTTTCATTTTCTGTCTGACGCTCTAAATATTTGAACAACTTGAGCAAAAGTGGCAGAGGGATGCACCCTAGAATACTAATTGCCTTTGAACATTCGTTACAAATTGGTCAGTTGTTTGGGAATTCATTTAGAAAGTATGAAAGGTGGATGTTTAAGCCATTCATTAATAAGGAAGGTGAGAAAGGAAGCTGACTTCCACATTGAAGAGGCTTTTTTGCTAATCTAAAAACCTACAGTTGTACCTAAATGTGGAACTTAGTGAATATAACCTAAAAAAGAATTTAGGAACATGCAAACTGCAAGAAAGGACAGCCTGTATATGAAAAAAGCATTAAGTTGCATGTAGATCCTGATCTTTATGAAGAAACATTTGAAATGTACTCACGTACGCATACACAAATGTGCTGTAATTTAGATGCACTAAGTATACATTTATTCAGAAAAAGTCCATATCACATAGAAGCAAAGTCTAGAATTAAATAAGAGGAAAAACAAAAAAACTTGATATTGACAAAAGGGAAAAAATTTAAGTTACTCAAATAATACAGGTCTCAATTTGGCATTATTCTGTACAGTCTTGCAACTCTTCGGTAGCTACATCCATTTTTGAAGATGCTAACATTAGATTTTTAGTCTTAAGGTCTTGTTGCAGTGCTCTGTTTGCACTCTAATCTGACCAAAAATTTTTTCTAAATTTTCATTTCATTATAATCAGTCTTCCAAAAAGCTCCAGCTGCTAAACACTGTAAGAGAGCATGGCATTCATAAGGCTGTAATTCTGCATTTATGGTCTTGAAGAATTGAAAACCTGACCAAGGAGTATGTCAAACCAGGAAGCTGGAGGGATTTCTTTGTTTCAGCTAGTATTCACAGACTTGAAAGAAGGGCATTCGAGTTATTCTAATTTCCTTCCAACCTTGCCTCGCACACTTCTGGGGACAGGGTGTTCACAGCCTCTGCCAGTGTCTCACCACCCTCAGAGTAAAAGATTTCTTCCTAATGTCTAGAATTTTTTTTTTTTTTTTTCCAGTTTAAAACTATTATCTGTTATCTATTATCTTTCTGTCACTACACTCCCTGAGAAAGAGTACCTCTCCAGATTTACTATAGGTCCCTTTAAGTGCTGGAGGGTCTCTACGAAATTTCCTCAGAGCCTTCTCTTCTCCAAGCTGAATGAGCCCAAATCTCTCAGCCTGTCTTCACAGAAGAGGCGCTCCAGCCTTCTGATCATCTTTGTGGCCTTCTGGATCTGCTCTGGCCTGTCCATGTCTTTCTTACAGTGGAGTGGAAAAAAGGGTGACAACCACCTCCCTTACTCTGACAGCCACTCTTCTTACAACGCGACCTGAGATACAGTTGAGGGATGCAAGCACATACCTCTGGGTTCACTTTCATAGACGGAACATCAGAAAAGGTCTGAAGCAGATCATACGGGCCAAGTTTGATACAATTAAATTCCCAGAAGCTTAAGCAAACCTAGAGATGCGCAATGTTCTTCACATGGCTATTTTTGATCACTTTTTTCACCAATATCAGCACTTCTAATTTTGATCAGTTGAGCTATTACTACATTTTACCTCCATCAGAAAAGACAGAAATAAACTGTTACAGCACCAATGAAGATGGAGTTAATTCAGTCCTAATAAGATAAAAACATGTATAGGTACTAATTCCAGTTATACAGCAATTCAGAGGTCTTCTCCATGCTCCTTGTGATTAACCTTTCTATTGATACAGGTTTAGGAAGTCGGACCAGGTACTTTATCTTCTGAAAACTGTGAGATCTGAACACCCAGTGAGTCCCACCACACCACTTGAAATTGCCTGCAACAGCCTGCTTCTGTCAGAGGTTGGAAGCCCAGCCAGCATGACCAGATTTCCTCTGTTTTCTTTCCGTCAGTCACAGGCCTTCCCTTCCAGAGCCCAGAACACTTTCAAGTAATAAGAGAAGAGCAGTTGCAGATCATTTCATCAACACCTGCACAGATTTCAAGACAATCCATTGTGTATTTTGCATCCCAAGTAAAACACAGACTAAGAATAAGGAAGTATTAACCATACAAAATATTTAATGGACATTTTCACCTCGTCACCAAGAGTTTAGCATGTAGACCACTGAAATCTTTTTTTACATTTCACGTGTAGAACAATATTGTCCCTTAAAAATTAAATTCCAATGAGATTACTTACTCTTGAATCTTATTCATTGTGGGACAATAATTAAAAGGGATCACATATAATGGGTTTTCTACTGAATATTGAATATTGCTGTCCTAATTTTTCTGTAATGTATTGCAGTTGAGCCAGTGGTGCTCAACAGGAATTAGAGATGAAGTTGCCTTGGATTGGGTAAAACAAAAACTCAATAGTTTTAAAACAGAACATAAGATATCTTGTCCTGATATAATTAAAATTTACCTACTAAAGATGCTGAAAAAAATAAACAGGAGCATATTTTTCTATCTCACTTCAAACGCATGGGTCAAAGTTACACTGGCTGGGAAGGCTGGAACTGGAGCACTGAGACAGCTAAGTGAATTTTCTTTATTCATTAAAACCCAACAGTCCAGACACAAACAGAGCACCGTCTGCAAAATTACTGTTAACAGAAGGATTGGCATTAAAATCCGTCATTTCCTTTAGACTACTCTCATGAAAAAAGATCCACGAGATCTCTTTACTGATTGTTCTCCTTATTCCTTTCTCATCTAGCTGTGAATGAAGTCTGAGCTACAATTACACTGATTGCAATGGCAGTTGATGTCGATTCATAAAAAACCCAAGAAGATACATATACATAAAACAAATAGCTGTTGTTCAGAATGTCATAGACCGACATAGCATTCTTTTCAAAAGCTTTTGGAATTATACGCATTCTCCTGAAGGCTCGCAACAAACAGTGACTGTGAAACACTTATTTAAATCATGCCATAATCCTGCCTGAGGAATTCAAAGCACTTAAACCACTTAAAGCACACAAAAACAAGGGAACTGTCTCTGTGCCATATGCGCGTGATTTCACATTTAGGAAAAGATCAGCATCAAGACAATCTTCCTTTTGGAATGTGATTTTTCTAGTGCTTCTAATTTTTGTGTATGGGAGAAGATGGGAAGAAAATCAGTGTTTAAAAGACAAAGGAAAATAAAATGAAAACCTTCTTAGCATCAGTACCTACAAACAAAAAGGTTATTTTTAACTCTGCAGGACTAAATGATCACTCCCACAATTTAATGAAATCCAAAAAATATATTAAAAACCTAGAGAAGGAATTAGCTGGGAATGCAGTGAAAGCTGACGAAGATGCCTTGAACACCTTAGCAAATAGTTTCAAGTCAGGAGAAACTTACTTTACTTAATGGAGGAAACTTGCAATTATTTTCAGTTCTCTCCTTCCATTGTATTAAACAATAACAAAATTGCCGTGGACTGTACTAAGTTGTCAGTGAATGACAAACTTTACTTAGCTAAGATTTATTGACTCATATTAGTTCCCATATCTTTCTCCATAAAACTGGCAGGCCTACTTTGCCAGTAGGCTATGCTAGGCATATGCATTATGCAGTTGCCTTTTTTAAGTTTTGTGTTTTTGCTGTTGGGAAAAATATTCATGCAAACTCTTGCGTCAGAGATAAGCTTGATTTTCCCTGCATTCAGGTTCACTGTCTATGATGCTGCGTGTAGTGAACAATCAGCTGCTGGTGTGTGTAATTACAGTCATGCACAATAGATATGCCTCGACATTGGTACTGAGGCATACAATTTTGCTTGTTTCTTTACCTGATTAATATGGAAGTCATTGGCAGTGACTTACAGAAGACAAATGAATTGAAATGAAAACAGGTTATCAAGAGATAAATCCATTTACTGGAATTAACAGAAGACTACTAAAAAAGAAAAGTATTTTAAGAAAAAAAAAACACTCATTAATTCAGAATTTATCTCGCAAAGATGAAAGGATATTGCCAAATAAGATTGAAACACTGTTTTGCAATTAAACTTTTTTAAATATACTTTTAAATACTTAAAATGCTTCATAATAGATCAAAAACAACGATATCATTTATTATTACGTTCTCACAAAAAATAAAAAATAAAAAATAAAAAATAAAAAATAAAAAATAAAAAATAAAAAATAAAAAATAAAAAATAAATTCCTTCAAGCAAAATACAATTAGTCAAGTGAACTGAATTTTTTTAGTTAAACGCTGTCCACCTTGGATAAGTAAGGACTGGCAGTCTCCTATCTTGGCTAAATATTAACAAACCAGACCTTTGTAACAGGATGATCTGTCTTCCAAGAAGAACAGCCGTCTTCTCTATATGGATAAATAATGGATCTTCACATTCATTCACACTTGCTATTTTCAGTCAGAAATTCAAACTTTTCCCAGCATCTTTAGATTTCAGTGAGAAGTACTACTGACAGATGTTGGAGACACCACACAATTTCAGACTGCCTGGATTGTTAGTTACTGTTTGACAACTTCTAAGCCAAAATGTTCATCTGCTGATGGTACTCAGATATGCAGGAACAGGTTTATCTGTCAACACCACACTAATTCAAATCCTTATTTTTGTTTGTCACAAAGATATTTGTGCTTTCTGGGAGTTTTCCTAACTTCTGCTGTCTACTTGCTACCAAAGGATGTCAAGATGCACAAATCCAAATGCTATTACCTGAGATTTTCAGGGTCTGTATTTTTTTCCCCCACCTGTTTGCCATTTTTTAAATGCAAACACTTGTAAACTTAGTGCTGTTTTGTTCTCACTGTATAATCCTAGCAGTTCTTCTCTTGAGCACTGAAAAGTTCAATTTTATCTTCTCTCTCCTCTCGCACATATGTGCACAGATGTGCACATACACAAAACTATTCTATTAAGGCTTACAACTGCCTGCATTGACACTTCTGGCAGAAGTGCACGCTGGCAATCAGTATGATAAGCAATGACT